CGTTTCTCTGATTTTTACCTGTTACCCATTTGTTTAGGTTCCCAACGTAGATTGTTCTGGGCCTATCCCTGCCTCGTTTGCCTTCAATTTTGCCAGTGAGAGCTAGATGTTCAAGACTAATATGTCTTTTCAGGTGTCCCCAAAAAACTGCATATGTCGTTTCCTGATTGTTTTTAACATTGAGCGTCCCAAGTGGGCTTCATCAAGCACTACCTCATTTGATTTCTTTTGCTTCCACGATACTCTTAGCAGCCTCCTAAAAAAACCACGTTTCTGTTGCTTCTATTTTATTTCCACTCTCTTTAGTGATTTTCTGGCATTCACAGCCATATACACGTAGAAGGGTTGACCATACATAGCAATTTAGAACTTTCATTATGGTGGTCATTGAGATTTTTTACTATTTTTCAGTAAAAAAGCTCATTTTATTGAAACTAGCCTTAGCCATTGTAAGTCTCCTTTTTATGTCTGTGGAACATTTGGCATAGATGTAATCGTATTTCCTAGATATTTAAACTGATGGACTTGTTTAATCTTTTCAGCTTTGCTAATGAGATTACAACTAGGCTTTGGTGCTTTTCTGGATGTTACCATGCATTCTGTTTAATTTAGATTCAACACTTACCTTTTACGTTCACTTTCTGTTACAACAGTATCTAGAAGCAATTGAAGGTCATTTTCTGAGCCTGCTATTAAAACTGTGTCATCTGCATACTTGACGTTATTCATATTTTCTCCATTTACTTTGAGACCTAGACATTCTTTTATGTTTCTAAGGAGTGTTTCACTGTACATAGTTAAAGAGATCTGGTGACATAACACATCCTTGACTCACTCCTCTGCTAATCTGTTTTTATTCATTGTATTCTTCATTAGTTCGTACAGCAGCGTTTTGGTCCCAATACAAATTCCTGATAATTCTTACACCTTTTCCACCTGTGTCTAGCTTTTCATGTATTTTAAATAGCTCATCATGTCTAGCTTTATCAAACGCCTTTGAATAATCTATGAAGCATAACAATACAGATCTTTCTGTGCTTCCATACTTCTCTCCATTAATATTGTTAAGGTGAATATAGCATTTCTGGTGCCTTTGTCAGGAACAAAGCCGAATTGCGTTTTATGTGAACTTTTACCCAGGTGGTGGCTGAAGCCTGCTCTTAATGGTCACCTTGACCTTGACCATCAATGATTTATTTATAGAGGCTCTACCATTTCTCCTCACC